GATTAATTGATCTCAGCACTGAAATGAGTACATCATGATCAACACTGTCAAAGGCCCTGCTATAGTCAATGGAAACTAAAATAGTAATTTGTTTATCATCAATACCAGTTTTTATGCTATTTAACAATTTTATTGAAGATTTTTTTAGAGAGTGAGAGTGAATGAGTGAGTGAGTGAGTGAGTGAGTGAGTGAGAGAGAGAGAGAGAGAGAGAGAGAGAGAGAGAGAGTGAGAGTGAATGAGTGAGTGAGTGAGTGAGTGAGTGAGTGAGAGAGNGAGAGAGAGAGAGAGAGAGAGAGAGAGAGAGAGAGAGAGAGAGAGAGAGTAATGTTCGACTGATGATGGCAAAATACCGAAAGCGTCCGATAGACCAAACCAACGTGGATAGGCAGTCCAAAATGATCGGTAATGTCTACGTTTATATGGTTTTATTACCAAGTGATGGATCTCTCAATTGGTTGGTCGTAGAAGAAAACATAAATTTTCCGTGTCATAACATTTTATTTCGTTGTGAAAGTCTCATTTGTCCATCCTCAGCTCCATTAGGTCATTGCCATTATATGGAAATACTTACAATGTGTTTAATTATATTAATTAAAAGTAAAATGTTGGATTTAATTGTTGTTCAAAAGTACTTAAAAAAATTTAAGATAGGATCAGAAAGGACCTTGACAATTGAATCATTGTTCTCAACAGTTCACCAGGACGTGATGTACATTGTTCTTTACCTTCTTTGTTAGCCGAACGTCGTGGGTTCGAATCCCGCTCGTGATACTGACTTTTTTATCTCAAACAAGACCTTACATAAAGATTAATTAATTGAAAGCTGTTATTTGATCAATCGGACCACGAAATCTAATGAATTTAATAAGTTGTACTTTCAATGCCATAAAAAGCATTATACGATGAAATGAAAACCCTAGGTGCCTGAAAAATTCTATTAGTTGAGCATGAAAAGCCAGTTCGCCATTGTTTTTATAAAGACATGTCGAATATTCACTTGTTTGTTAGGAACCTTTTCTAAAACTGGAAAAAAGGGGACAATTAAAAATACATTATCGTGAGTGTAAATATAGAAGCCTCAAGATGAATGTAAGCACCAAGATTTACGTCTGTTTATGTGCAAAAAGATAAGGGAAAGATCGTAGATTTTGCACTTCTTTTACATTATCTTTAATCTTCTTCCAAACAAGGAGGAATTAAAAACCCGTCTTTCTGGATGATTTTAGACATCTCAGTTTTAACTACTTCTGGTTCTTTCTATAGCCAGGGTGTAACGACAATTCGCTAATTAATTGAACCGTCTAATACCATCCAATAACCAACCAAATGGTCTTTCACGAAGAGTAGCAAAAGTTCTTTTTCTCAAGTTGAAACAGTATCGAAGGAATTGTTGGGATAATTCTGGTTTTATTTTTACTGTCGTCCGAAGTAAATAGCTGTAATCATTAACTATAAATTATCTTAAATACAACAGCTTATGTATGATGTTTAGTGACCGCTAGTCAATGATTATTCGGAGATAGTGAGTTGCGGTCTGGTGTGAAGTAGGTTTTAGAAAATTTTTCTTTATCGTGCCAACGTTTCGATCTTTATTGAGATCATCTTCAGGGCTCAAAGTGTTTGTTTACCGGTAGATGTGTCATTCTTGTCTGTCGAAGAGAGCCAGGGGATACTCTCAACACGACAGACAAGAATGACACATCTACACGGAAAACAAACACTTTGAGCCCTGAAGATGATCTCAATAAAGATCGAAACGTTGGCACGATAAAGAAAATGTTTTGGTAAAACCTACGTCACACCGGACCGCATCTCACGATCTCCGAATAACAACACCTTGTATTTAATTTTTTACTGCCAAAAAAAAAATAGCTGGACTTTCAATTTCTTAACGCTTTCGCGCTTTTATCCTGTCAAATACCCCCAACACGGTTCGACAAGTTTATGGAGATTTCTCTCCGATTTTGTACGTGAAAGTGATCAAAAACCTATTTTCTGTCCTAGATTACAACGTGACAATCCAGCCAAACCTTTTTACTTTTCATTTGTTATTTATTAACATCTAGGCTAATTGTTGCGTTTAAGTAAATTTAATACCATTTTAAAGCGTTAAACAAAACAAATTGAACACATATACAAACAAAATATACATAACTCTGAAAAAAGAGGAACTACTCATTAGCAGTAATCACTTGCACTGTTATTCCCTGTCACTTAGGAGGTCGCCAGGCCAAGGACGCTTCAGGGGAGGATTATTTGGAAGGGTGCGTTGGTGTGACTGGATAATTGATAGTGAAACTTCTTGTAGCGGTTTTTCACTACTTCAAGGACATATTGGATGTTAAGGTCATTATGAACGGTAAGATTTGATACGTAGAAAGGAGCAATCACAATGGTTCGAAGGATTTTTGATTGTAGGGATTGGATACTTTGGAGGTTTTATTGTACCCCAAAGTTCGATGCCGTACGGCCAAATGGGACTCAAAATAGTTATACAATTGAGTCGATTATTTTGTAAAGTCCGTTTTGACTGTTTATCGAGCAATCTATAGAGAAATCTGAATCGCTAAGCTCTTGTCTTTTTAGTCGGGTGTGAGGGTTCCATGCAAATCATTGGCCAATGTATATCCCAAAGTAGCGGACTACATTAGCTGGGGGAGAGGGATACTATTATAAGATGGGAGCAGTGGTTATTCTCCGAAGAGTTAAGTGACATGTTTTTTGTATGTTTATTGTTATCTTCCACTGTTTGAACCACTGCTCAAGTTATGTGACGGCTTTGTAGGTGTCTAGTTGAAATTACAGGGTCTTTATGGGAGCAAAGGATGGCTGTATCATCCGTTTAGGTTGAAAGCATTGTTTCTGGAAGAGTAGGAATGTCTGCGGTATATACAGCGTAGAGGATGGATCCTATGATACTTCCTTGTGGTATCTCAGCATCTGTGCCATACCCGGCTGACAGAGAATTGCCACTGATGACGTGAAAGTATCTGACAGGTAGGTAGGATTTTATGAACAGGTAGTAGGTAAAAGGGAAGACTTTTTGGACAAACCAGATATTCACTGAAACACTTCTGAATGATTTTTCAACTTCAAAAACCAAAAATTGTGAAATATATAAAAAGTCATTAAATTATAATGAACCTGTATTATGCTGGTGTACTGCAAGGGTGGATTAAGAGGCGAGGCATCGTCATTTAAGGCGAGGTGGCGGTTTCTCGTGGTAGGAAGGTATATTGCCTGAGAAATATGGTTAAAATGGATCGGAAGCTTGGTGGAGAACTTTTGGAAGCGGGATAGGAACAGTTCATAGATAAAAGGAATATTGATGGATTGTGAGGTTATTTGCGTAGAAAAGTGCTTTGGCAATTTGTCTGAGGAGTTTTGATTGGAAGGATTCGTTGGATGTTGGATAGCCGGCAGTTCTACTTCATAGTTCAGAATGGTCTCAGTAATATCTTGTATAGAGTTGAGTTGTGACGGTAAAAACAGATATACGTCCTAAAAATCTTCGCATTTGTCGAAGTATTCTGTTGGGTTGTTGACCCTTTAACTTTTGCCTGAGGTTTCCATGTCATTACGCTTTTTATGTATTGACTTGAGTGGCTGTTGGTAGCTCGGTTTTATTGATATAAAGTTGACTTTTTTCCTAAGTCAATTTTTTCTTTCTCTTTTTAACCAGTCTTTGACGAACTCAAGAGGTTTGTAGGTGGCTTGGATTATGATGGTGATAAAAGGAGACGAGAAAGTGGGGCTTTATGTTCCCCAAGCAGCCTTAGCTTTCCTAGTTCCTTAGTTCAATGCACTCGATAAGTAGACTTTTTCTCAGTCAATCTTTTCCTTCTCTTTTTAACCAGTCTTTGACGAACTCAAGAAGTTTGTAGGTTTCTTGGATTATGATTATTTATTATTATAAAAAGAGACGAAAAAGTGGGGCTTTATGTTCCCCAAGCAGTCTTATGGCTGGATATTTCTTTCTTCAGTATAAAATTTGGTTAGATCACAGAATTGCCATCCACATAATAATGATAGTGCCAGGATGGGAAATTTAGCAGTATAAATCGTGAAGAGGATAGGGTCAAGAACGCTCCCTTGTGGGACACCGGCCTGTATTTTTCTGATAAAGTATTCGTTGCCTTAGCTTACTCTGAAGCAGTAGTCAATATCATAAAAATACGAAAAATTCACAGATTATCTTTAGAATTACGTAAATGAAATTAGTTCTCTAAAGAAATATAATTTCATTTAATTCGGGTATGAATGTTCAAGGATTTTGGTCAAATATTATATTTCTAAGCATAAGAGTTTATAATGATTTTTTTATTGCAAGAACCTATTGGGATGAAGAATGGTTGGGAATAGGCAGGGATGATTTCTTCAATTTTCTAAAGCGTTTTGACCTTTTGTCCTGCCTGAAAATTATTTTACTCTATTGAAACATAAAAGTATTTAAAGGGAAATAAAACGAATTACAGTTAGAAGTAAGAAATAAAAATGAGAAAGGCAAACTTAAGGAGGAAATCAAATGAATCTTTTTTTTCTTTTTGCCTGTTTACAATTATGATAATGTATCTACCAATTAAATTTAACATCGGAAGTTTCACCTTTGCCCTGATAAAAATATCGTTTTTAAAGACAAGAAATCTACTCGTTGTCTCTAGATACAACATTAGAAAGATTGGTTTGATCGATATTGAGTAGTATATTATTTAACTATTGACAAAATGTTTAAAAGTGTAAAAATAAATAGTTTGAAAAAAAAAACAGTCAGTTATGGATTTACAGTAACAATTCATAACGTATTGTGTATGTGCTTTGAACGCTAAATCTCTGTTTATGAGTACTATGAGTAGCACCTCACATCAAGTGCACTGCTACAAAGATGCGTTCTGGTCAAAAAGAGATTTTAAGATTTGTACGTGCTCCAAACTGTCTCAGTTTCGTTTCCATTCATTTGAAAATTCATTCCCTTCCCAGTGGCCTGAGATAAGATAGTCTAATCATTTGGATAAAGAGGCATGCGCTTAAGAGACATTTTGAGTTCGAGACTTCATTGCCGCCAGTCTAGATCATGACTCTGCAGCATCAACAATGCAGGTAAGCTTACAGAACAGTTTTACAATTTAATACGTTCGTGGTTAACGCCAAATTAATGGAACTTTAATTAATATTGGTTTATTATGGGAAGGAACTTAACTTTCGAGATCATGCTTAATTTTTTCTCAAATGATCGTTATTTCAATTATGTAATAAATATATGAAATTTTTTAGCCATTGCTGCTTGAAATCCATCAATTATAAAAATACCTTATTAATTTGTTAAGCATTTTTTTATTTATTTGAATTAACTTATTACAGTCTTATATAATAATTTATGCTTGATTTAATTAGAATTGCTATTCACTATTTTAAAAAAATAGCCAAACAAGCTAACTTTTGTTTTTGTTTAAATCCAGTCAAAATTCTCTATCATTAATTAAAAAACTCAGTTTAAACCGTGTGAAAATCATGTAAAATCCAAAAATCCAAGCCATGTTATAAAATGTAGTAAATATGCCATAAAAAACTATAGTTATTTTTAAGAATTAGGGCATAAACAAGGATGAACTATTGTTGAAAATTGATAAACTCGATAGTAAATTTTACTCAAATAACAAATTAGCTCCGGAGCTTTTAGCGGACGAAGTTGTCTTAAATTTCCGTTTACGTTGTATTAAATTTAATATTAAACAAATCAAATTTGACAAACTGACAGCCCCATTAGGATCACGTTTCCTTTATTGCTTTTGTAACATATTCGCACATATACGCCAAAAATTTCCCTACGAATTTATTTGATTTTTTTTTAAATTTGCAGAATGAAATTGTTAATTAGACTTTTTTTTGTGCAAATCGACAAATGTTTTGACCTCTGAATTGACGCTTATTGACTAGGCACAAAGGTTCTTTTTTGTCCGAGTCTAGGTCGGGACATCTGCGATCTTAGGATATAGAAAGGTCTATGTCGACGTTTCACGATTTTTTGAGTAATCAGAATTCGTTGTCCTGTTTATTTACGTTTCTTGTTAAATGTATCGAGTTATTTCCATTACGAAACTGTAAAGTTCATTTTAATCGCTAAAGTTAGTATAGACCTAATTTTCGTCTTGAAATACACTGATGGACAAAATAAACGCACCACCCTTAAATTTTAATATATTTAGGTTTATTCATATTTTGCATACCAAAAATAGGCTTGGTTGTAACCAAAAGACATTTAAAAAGAAAATGCTTATTGTCTTACCATAAAAACAAAAACAAATATTGAATAAAGAATTTTTAAAAAATTGAAATGTAAAAGGAATTTTTTTTCCGTTAATTTATTTTATTTTTCCCATAGAGTATTACATTTTTGTGACTAACATAATGCTTTATTTTCTCAATTATTATGTTGTTTTTAATTTGATGTAAGATAGAGAAAAACGAATCAATATTAAGTTCATTCCCTTCCAGCATTAGTCTGTTTATTGCCATGTATATCATATAAATTCACTAGTTTTTCTTTCAATTAATTAAGGTTTTTAGTTGAGATAAAAAATTCAGTGTCACGAGTGGGATTCGAACCCACGACCTTCGGCTAGATACGCCGCTACTCTACCACTTGAGCTATCGTGACTTCGATCCACTCGGGCACTAACTTCCCATCTCAACCCCACCTTTTGAATTTTCCCTCCTTTTTGCCATTTTTCAAGTTAATTTAATAAGTTAAAAATTAAGTATACTTCACTAAAGATCTCCGTGGACATTTCATTTGTCGCCGAGAATCAAATAGATTACTCGACATCTGAAAAATGGCAAAAAGGAGGGAAAACTCAAAAGGTGGGGTTGAGATGGGAAGTTAGTGCCCGAGTGGATCGAAGTCACGATAGCTCAAGTGGTAGAGTAGCGGCATATCAAGCCGAAGGTCGCGGGTTCGAATCCCGCTCGTGACACTAACATTTTCATTTTCAACCTAGACCTTACTGTAAAAGAATAATTAATTGAAAGAAGTATTTGATCAATTAGACAACTAAATGAAATTCTTTATTATTACTATTCTTTTGCCTAAATTCTAATTTTTGGTACTATTATTTCTGTTTTTATACTTTGTGAAGGCTGAAATGGTGACTAGTTGTTAGCCCCTGGAGCCTGATCTAGGCGGCTGGAAGTATAAGATCGATGTCTGATCCAGGACTGCCAACTAGAGATTATACTGGGATTACGAGCTGATCAAAAGAGTTAACTCAACGGTAATACCACTCCGATACCAAACCTCAGCGATTGACGGTCATTATTGAATTTTGTCTTTACCCAACTAAGTAACTTGACTACTGACTTCACCCACTTTGCCGTCCAGCCGCGCGCCTCTCTCTTGTTTCACCTCTCCATGCCGAACGGTGCCCGCCTTTCTGCGGCTTTGTCCCATGTTCAAGTTTATCAGGTCCGTTTTAAAAAAACCCAAGACAAAAATTTTATCTGTAAGTTAAAAAGATATAAAAATGCATACCTCAAATCATTTATAATAGTTTGTATTATTTGATAAGGACGGTCTTAATAAGTAGTTCTGCTAAAAAAATTATCTTTTTGAAAGCCAGTTCGTGATCGATTTACAAAGCTGTAGTTTTCGAATCAAGTCAATCGACAAAAAGAGCCATCTAAAATTATTCTCTGCTGGACCAAAACTACCGTAAACCGGCTTCGGATAGGAAGGAAAACATTTCCAGGAGGCCAAATCGGGATGCGATTGTCGTGTTTGCCAGAGTCCACACGTCACGTTCTTCAAATATTTACACCCTGGTATATATTGTAAGACAACCGGATCTCATAAAGCTACGGCGACGGATTTGGTATGGTAGAATTAAGAAAACTGACGCTGTTTTCGAATAGTTTCTGTATTATCAAGAGAAAAATTGTACGGATTTTTTAGAAATAATTTCTCTCAGAAATAATTTTAAATCGATTGCCTTTCATTGATAAAACTACTTTGTTCTCGGATGAAAAATTTTAATAAATAAATACAATTTAGCCGACTCATTGGGATGGAATGGTATGGTAATGAGGATAGGAGGGTTTGTACTCCCCAGGCACTGCAGCCTTCTGGCTTACTGTACCTTCCTAGTTCCCTAGTTCAGCAAGATATTCGAGCGTGCTATCCCGCATAGCTGAATTCCTGCATGAAAACAGCATCATTATGCCAGAGCAGTTTGGTTTCAGGCCAGGACTACCACTGCACAATTAGCTAGGATAGTAGATGACATAACGCTAGCGTTTAACTTACGAAAACATACTGGCATAGTTCTAATAGATGTCCCAAAGGCCTTTGACACTGTTTGGCATAATAGTCAGCAGGATGATGGATATAATAAAAATAGTCTACTCCTATCTCTTATCCAGACAATTCCGTATTTCTTTTGGATCATCCCAACCGATAGACAGTGTTACTGGTGTACCTCAAGGCTCTATCCTTGGACCCATTCTATTTCTCCCATATTTTAACAAAATACCCCAAGAATGAAAAAATGGCTCTCCATGCTGACGATATCGCTCTCTACTGCTCTTCATGGAGGAAAGGACACAATATCGAACTGATTAGACAATGCAATGCATAGGAAGTTTTTGCAGTTTTTGAAAACGGGGGCAATAGTTTTCAGCAAGCGTAGACAGTTGCTTTATAAAAGATTCAATTTGAAGGTATAACTGTGTCCTGGTCTGAGTCAGTCAAATATCTTGGGGTGACAACCATAACTATTAACTGATAACTTTCACTCCCCATGTCAGTAAACAAAGGCAAAGCGTCTATCCGAGTACTTTTCCCTCTGGTCTGTCGCCAGTCTGGCCTGTCACCTGCCAATAAGATTTTTCTGTAAAAGGTGAGGGTCAGGCCCATGCTCCTGTATGCGTGCCATTCCTGGGGCCTGACATGCAGGACTAATGTCGCCAGGCTCGCCCCAATATACACGCATATCGGAACTGCACAATGCGACAAACATGTTAATACATCAGAGATGCAACTATTAAATTTTTTAAGCAATGCGAAGCTAGTACCAGTACAATCTGTTGCCAGATGCTTGGTTATGCTACCTATGCTTGGACGACAGGTACATGCATAGGAGAATAAAGAACGCTCTCTTATAAATTGGTCAAAATTGCTGGGGTTTTAATCTAATTTTTCCCTCCCTGGTTCAGTGCAATGACTCAATCCTTCTTCTTAAAAGTATCAGGTCACTGACTTTCGCTGCTACAATTTCAATCCTTAGATTTTTTCGTTAGGTTAAATCTCCATTGAGCTGTTGCTTGCATTCGAAGATGGGTGGTTGTTTCTCCCTTCTCATTGCATAATCTGCAGATGGGACCACTCATTAGTGTCACAGTTTATCTAGTTGAGTTCACCTCGTAACTTTTAAAGAACTAATTATGTTCCTCTTCAGTCATCTTACGATGGGTATATGTAGCGACTGGCTTCGATGTTCGGGTGGTTTTGGAGACGTGTGATTCTGCTTATAAGCATGACATGTTATCTCAGGGCGATGCGCTGATCAGATATCTGTATATGTCACTATTGCGAATATACCAAGGATCTACCATATTTCATCGTTGTTTATTTTTGAAACCGTTTCATTACGATTGTATTCTTTCTATTGGCACATCCCCAAAATTGTATAATATACATCCATGTTTTTAATGTTAATTATAAATAGGTTTTAAAATGTAATTATAAATTATTATTTTATTTTGTCAATTAACAATTCTTTTTATCTAAGGTCTTGGGTTAAGAACGGGACAACTTTTTCATCTCTACCAAGACCTTAGATAAAAAGAATAATTGATCGAAATAATTAATATGGTCAATTATGACCGCTAAACATATATGGATTAATTTTATTTTTTATTGATAGCCGGGAATTCCTTCCAAATCAATAAAGTCGACGGTATTTAATATCAAGTTCTTTCTTTTTATATTTGATATGTGCTCTGCAATTTAATTTTTTTTATCTATTGTCAAGCATAAATATTTTACTGAATTCTGGAAAGGTACTTTACCATTGAAGAGGATTCGTTTGTCTACTAATTTTCTATTT